CCAACAATCTTATAGATTCATGTTCATATAATTAACTTATCATAAACGGTGTTAAGACAACGGTACCCTTGTGAAGTAAGATAAGGCAGATAGCATTGTCTAGCACAACACAATTTTAAAACTTATTTAAATAAATCTGTGGCGACGCGATAAGTCATAAAGACAACCAGATACCCTTACAATAGATCATGTTAAGAATGATATCTTAAATGAGTTACACTAAATTTAATAAACGTTTTTTTTCAGGATAACATACAATAGAATTAAGGATGCCTAGATTGATGCAGAGATATCAGTGTTACTTAAAAACTAAGTGTTCACAAAAGGCATTCTACGTCCTTTGGCTCCGATACACGGACTAGGCCAAATCCACTACATTCAGTATACCAAGATCGTAGGAGATAGGACAAGCTCAAGGATCGTTAGTCATTACAATGACAACATATCTAATTGAACAGATCACCCTCAACTACACATAATAGTTAGAAAAAATGAATAAAATGGTCTTAATATATATTTTATTTTTTATAAATCCTGAGCGAAAAAAAAATTTGTATCGTTTTTTTATTTTGAATGCACATTGACAGAGCATATTTAGATAGTAAGGGTTATACAGGCTGGATTAACAATACAATAAAATGATATAGGAATAGGTAATACCAGTAATGCCTAGAATTATTTCAGACCTTTGTGAATTTGGTCTGCAATTCATCCAAACTAATTTTGCAAGCTATTTCAGTAAAGGACTTCAGCTCAGGATCCTTAGAAAGAGATGTAGAAAGCACATGGAAAAGTTTTCGAAGTAGTTCAGATTCACTTAGAGTCAAACAGTCAAGTGCAATCGAGACCTGTTTCGACTGAACTATCGCTAGTAGAATATTGTAGATAATAAGGAATACTTCTTTGCGAGGAAGGCTAGCCACTCCATCTTTGAACAATTCAGATGAAAAGAGCTGATCAGAAGACCAATATAAAGCTTCGATCAATTCGGAGAAAAGTGAGACACCTAAACCAGAATCAAAAATCTGCCGAAATAATAGAGGGTTTTGAGAAGAAAGTAATTGAAATCGATTATAATGGAGACGGGAAGAGTGATCAGGCTGCTGGGCTAGATGTCTCCAAATACGAACAAACTGTGAAGTTGTCATGTCTTCGGAACAAGGCTGAAAAAGGGAATTATAAAAAATAGACGAAAAAGGAAGTATATATATATATATATAAGTATACATTCGATGCTTTATATCTCATCAAAGAGCTCAGATATAGAGTATATATACAGCTTTTTAAGGATGAGCCGGTGAGTTTTCTTGACTCAACTTGAATAAGATTGTAAGGATGATACCCTGTTATGATGATGTTCGTCATACGACGGACAAAAGCTTAACACGTTTTCACCAGAGTAGAATGAGCTTACATCGGAAACAGCGCCAACAAGAATGTTCCAGGAAAGCCATTCGACAGTTGGTCAAAAAGAATCCCCCGTCCTTTTCTGATGAGATCGACTTTCGAATCTCTTTACCAAGGAATTTCACTCGAAATGGAAGCTCAACAATTAGGAAGCAAGAAAATCAAAACCCAATTTTTCTTCGTATATACCACGTACGTATGGAACAAATTCTTATCAACTGTCTTCTGGCTATAATAAAATTGAGAAATCGATATCCTGGCAAGTCAATGCTATTAGATTTTTAGACAGTTGTATTTCAGATAATGTAGTACCTAGACATTTTTTGGAAGGCGTCCAAATTTATCTATTTCCACCAATATGAAAGTGGGACAGGTATCAAGTGATTTGGTTAAGACTAGACTAAAAAAAGGCACAAACAAATTATATGACCTGATAGAAACCAAAACGAGGACTAGGCGATCCCTTTCTGTATTATTTTCTCAATAAGACTTTCTCCAAGTATAAAATATGGAGGACGAAATGGCAGAAAGGATGGATAAGATTCACAGATGCCGACATAATAAAAAATATGGAATTTAGGCATTAAAATCTACTCAAAGAATAGTCGAAATAATAAGGATGTAGCTAAACTTAGAGTTATTTGTTCTAGCAAAAAAAGTCATTAATTTAACGCATATACCTAAGAATGATAGTATTGAGCTCTCTTGAAAAGAAGGCTAAACTTTACCTTTCCAAATAAGCAAAATCATTATATGGAGATATTGGTCGAATTATTTAACATAACAGACAAGCTGCCCCAAAATGATAAAATAGTATAGAATTATAAGTGATTCCTCATTTTAACAAGGTAATTATTCAAAATAAATCGTATGACTTGAAAAAGAGTTCAAGATATTTGCACCAAAATGATCTGTTTGGTTTGAAGACAGATAAAGGTGGTGCAGTGGTCATTATGGATAGGTTAAGTTATGTATAAAAAATGACCGTTTATTTAAATTATACAGAAGCATACAGAATCTTAGTGAAGGATCACACATAGAGTCTTAATGGCAGACTTAAGGAATCGCTTAACGTTTTTGAAAGCAAAAGATAAATTGAGAAGTGGAAAATGAATTCATTTCTTCGAGAAGATGCTAGAGTACCTTCCGCTTACGGCCTTTCAAAGATACACGAGGGAGTTATTTTTAGATCGATTGTTAATAATATAGGAAGTGTGATGCATAGGATTTCACGATTCTTATGCAAACAAATAAGGAAAGTGGCTAAGTAGTGAAAATATTCTGTAAAGAATTCATATGAATTTGTTAGATTGATAGATCAACAATGTAAAAGAGGAGGAAATTTTGGTTTGTTTCGATATGGTATCAATGTATACTAGTATCTAGGTTGAGAAGGCTATTGAAGCACTAACAATCAGTCTGGATGAGCACCCAGAAATTATTGAGGGAACAAGTCTAAGCAAGAGCTCAATCTTAAGGCTACTTAATCTATCCATTAGTAGCACATACTCACTTTTAATGATAAGGTTTATGAACAGGTATAAAGCCTAGCAATGGGATCTTATTTGGCTCATATTTTAGCTCTTGCTCCGTAAGAATCTGATAAGACCTAGGGGAGGAGGACTACGTAACAATATGACAGACTCTGATCAACATTCCCAGCACAAAGGTGAAGGGGGTAGTAAGGACGCCAGTGTGGAGTGTGGAGGGTTTTTATGAATGACGCTCAAAGGAGCACACCACACTACATCTAAATGAGCAGGGTAAAAAATTGTAACAGTGAAGACGTGATACTCAGATATAGAAAATGTAATAGCCCAGAGCAGAAGGAGAGATAGCACAGCTGTTTAGCACACGTTTGGTCAAAGAATCGGCTTCAATTGTCTCTTTGACGAATTGTAGTGTGATGCTAAGAATGGTAAGACTCACTGATGATGCCGACAAAACGACTGGGAATGTACCACGTCCACGGTCCGACTTTGGAAATTATTATGCATGCAATGTACTCCGGACTATGTGCGTTCCTCTAAGACCTGCCAATATGACCAAGTTGCGAAAACAAAGTCAAATAATTTCTATACGACGAAAGGAGACTGCGACCACACGAAAGGTCACACCATCTTGGTCTTCATATCCTCAATAAACAATAGTGTTTGATTTAATTCAAACATGGACGAATAAAGTAAAAGATCTTCGCACTAGCGGTTCAAAAAGAAGCCAATTATAGAGTAAAGAGAGTAATAGTTAGATGGAGGTGGGGAATGATAACTAGGAAATTAGGTTCGTGAAGCCAATATAACGTGAATAGAGCACCAAGCGTAGGAATCACGGTGTAAAAGCATTCCCCATTAAGGCTATCACACAGGTTCTATCATATTATCGGGGCTTGTCATGTGAAAAATTCCTTGAATGTGTCCGAAACGATGGCCGGAGTCGAGGGCGTATAGACAGACAACTAGATAAGTCAATAATTAGCAAATGAAGCAGTGAAAATGGGTGATTAAGTTAAAGTGCCAATTAGGATCCAGAAGCCGCACGAGCAGCAGCCAAAGCAAGGTAAGCTTCGTTAAATCCACTTGAATTGATATCAGAACAAGTGCAGATAAAAAGAGTATTAGATAAGTGAATTTGGCATATGAATCATGTTTGAGGAATAATGATAGTGCGCAAGTAGCAAGAAAAGGAAAAATAAAGATAACACGCCTAACAAGAAAATAAGTCAAAATAATTGCTTCACTAGTCACTTAGAAAAGTTGTAACTCGGTGCAGAAATGGCGCTTCTCAATGAAGATTCAGATGAAACGCCTGAGAATGAACGGCCATTGGTTAGGCCATCTTGCTCTTCGTATCGAGGTAACACAAAGTCTATCAAGGATAACAATTCATATTGGAAGGGATGGCTTAAGTGCATGCTCCCAATATAAAATGGCAAACTTAATTAAGTATAGGTCTGGTCGTAAATTTAAGGAGTATCAAAAAGAAGCTTATTACTCAACTATGGCATGCTAAAGCGGTAACCAATCGAGATTATATTAACTAGCAATACCCCTAAGCAGCTTCATGCACAAATAAAGGAGAGCCTACGATAATTAAAAGTAAAAGAAACAATATAAAATAAGGGGCATTTAAGGAATTTTTAACAGCCTATCTATAGATACGAAGAGAAACTGGGTTTCGATAAATCTCTTGAGATAGCATTGTTAGGATGACTTTCATTTCCTATTGAAGTGCATGAAGAAGCGATTCGTTGATCTATCTCACCAGATAAGGATGA